AAAAAAAAAAAAAAAAAAAAAAAAAAAAAAATTTGGTTTAAGACTGGGCATGGTGGCGCGCACCTGTAATCCCAGCACTTGGGAGGCTGTAAACAGGAGGATCACTACGAGTCTGATCTATGCAGTGAGACCCTGTAGACCCTGTCCTAAACACACACAAAATTGTTTTAGTAATAAAAAACCTACTTAAAAGTAATTAAAAATTAAAACCTGTTAAAAGTAATAAAAGATTACTTCTCAAAAGCAGACGAAGGGAAATCTTAAGAGAAAGAGAAGTGAAAAGAATGAGGATGTGTTGTGTACATGTATCTGTTCCCCCAAAATGAGTGTAATCGTTATGTACTGCAAAACTACCTGTTTACAACCAGAATGATAAGCAAACATCAGCAAATCAAGTCTAATAAAAGAACTATATGCTACAACCAAGTGGGCCGGGGGGCATACCTGGTCTCTGCACTTGCCTCAGCAGGCACTTAGTCCACTGAGCTAGCACCCTAGCCCCAGGTTAACTTCTACTTTACTGGCATGTGGTGCTGGGGAATCGAACTGTGGTCCCTGTGCTTTGCCAAGCTTGTTCCAAGTAGGTGCTTTAAACCACTGAGCCATCTCACCAGCCCCGGTTAAAATGATTTTGAAAAAGAAGAATAAAGATAAAGATTTCACACTTTCCATTATTATTATTATTATTATTATTATTATTATTGGTGTTACCAGGGATTGAACTCAGGACCTTGCACTTGCCAGGCAAGCACTTATTCCACTGAGCCATCTCCTTGGCCTACACTTTCCAATTTTAAAATTTGCTACAGAGCTAATAAAAACAGTGTGGTATTGTCATAAGGACAAATTTAGATTAATGGAGTAAAATTGAGAGTCCAGAAGAAACACATCAATTGTGTTTTTTCTGTTTTGATTACGTTTAAGGTCTTGTAGCAATTTTCAATACTATAATACATTATTGGGGCCAGGGAGATAGCTCAGTGGAATAAGTGCTTGCCTGGCAAGTATAAGGTCCTGAGCTCAATCCCTGGTAATATATCTATCTATCTATCTATCTATCTATCTATCTATCTATCTATATATATATATATCTCCTATATTTACCATATTGTACAATAGATCTCTTGAGCTTATTCCTCTAACTGGAATTTTCATCCTTTGACAAACACATATCCTGACCCACCACCATTCCAGCCCCTGATTACCACTATTTTACTCTACTTTTTTTTCTTTTTGAGACAGCATCTCTCTGTGCAGTTCAGGCTGGCCTTGAACTCATTTTGTAGCTAGGTTGCTCTTGAACTCGGAATGATGCTCTTAAAAACATTAACTGTTTAATATTTTCTATCGTGGATATACCATAGCTTATTTTATTTTATTTTTTATGTATTTGGTACAGGGTCTCACTACACAGGTCAGACTCATAGTGATCCTCATGTTTTCAGCGTCCCCAGTGCTAGGATTACAGGCATGCACCACCATGCCCGGTCTTTTTTTTTTTTTTAATTTTATTTATTTATATTTGTGGGGGGGGGCAGCTCAGCCCACCGGGGGCGGGGCTGGCTGGCATGTGGTGCTGGGGGATTGAACCAAGGTCCCTGTGCTTTAGCTAAGCTTGTTCTAAGTAGGTGCTTTAGACCACTGAGCCATCTCACCAGGGCCACCCAGTCTTACCATAGTTTATTTTATCTCTCTCTGTTATTTGTCATTTGGGTTTTTTCCATTCCCCTCCTCATGGACATATTTGTAATACTTAGTAGAAGTTTTGA